CAGCATGTTTAGGTGCGAACTCACAACCAACTACTAATATCAATGGTTTTATCTACTAATTAAAAACGAGAGAAATAAAATAAAGAAGTATATAGACATTTAAACATGCAAAAGCATCACTAAGTTGTAAGAGATTTTGAAACCATGAAAAAACGAGTGTATTTTTATGGAAATACAGGCTGGTGCTACTGTACGAGCAAATTGGACATTTGCCTAGGGCGGAAAATTTTAATAAATTTATACAAAATTATCAGGCTATTGCTTTTAATATTTTTAAATTTTTATCTATATTACACTTCGGGAGTTGAATATTAATTGACGGAAAACAAGTAATTACACTTTTAATTGGAAAGGCATTTCAGAACAAAAATTTTTCATTTTATGTAGAGGATAAGAGGGTATCAAATGCATGTCTTGCCCCGGGTGGCAAAACTCTAGCACAGGGTCTGTGGAAATATTAAATATCTCCAAAGAGTATAATCTTTTATAGTCGAACAACCGTATTACTATTTTATATATTACTATTATATATTATACGTATATTACTATTTTAGAAACAACTGCAATTAGAATTGCTAATTACTACAAATTTCACAATGTGCATTTGGACAATGTCAGTCTAAAACTAATGAAACCACACATAAAGAATTACTCCAGTTTCTCAGAATTTCAAATATTTATTTCGATATACCATTACTGAAGTTGCCTGAAGGTTTCGAAATAGGTGTTGATGTACAAGATGACGATGTTGTTCCTAAAATCACATCTCGTATTTGCAGCAGCATATTGAATATTGTATACCAATTTTCATACATCTGAGAAGAAATGTAAAATTCAAAAATACACAATAAAGACTAAATGTTCATAAAATGTTTATAATTTCTTTCCACAAATAATGTGAGAAAAATAAAATTTGTTAGTTTTCAGAATTTTCTTACCTTAACTGGCATGTCTTTAGATATTACAAAGCATTCTCCACAGCTGAATCCGAGTTTATTTTGTTGAAATTTCTTCATGAAATCCAAAATCTGTCCAATAAAAAGTTGATATAATATAAAGTCCATCATTTATAATATTAAGTCCATCATTTATTTAGTATTAATGTAATCTATATAGTCCTACCTTTAGCTTATCTTGCAATGAGAGATAAGCACTTGTAATTCTTCTGATATCTTGAAAGGAATCATAGATCTGAAAGTAGATTTCGAGAAATTAGAATAAAGAAATTTCATGAAAAATGTTTGTTGTTGCTTGTAATTACCGAAGAAACGCAGCATGAAATTGAAAACACGCAGAAAAATATTATCATGGTTACAACAATCGTAACAATGCACATTATAACACGAAGATGAAGAACTTCCGTTCTAAATACTGATGTGTAAATCATGAAGGATACAAGACAGAGGATAAGCCCATATAAAGCGAATACATATTTATTCCATTTTTCATTAATATCTTCGATTACATCGCAAAATTCGACGTGTTTCGATATCAAACGGTCGATATTCTTCTTTGGCCATTGCGTTTTCGCCTGTTGTAACTGCACTGATAAAGCTTTGAATCTGTCGTTTATGATTATGCCAATTAGTATGACTACAGGCGCATGCCACATCCATATTGTAGACTCATAAATTTATGGAGGCAATTTGGAAAAATACAGAGCAGACGATGGCCCTCGAATAGCTTGAATTTTTTTCAATTTCTTTGAATACGATCAAATTGACAAATGTGAGCAAACACATCGAAAAAGCGTAAGCGATTCCGATAGTATAATTTGCAATACGTTGGTAATATTGTACTTTTTCTATTTCTCCTTCGTATTCGGGTATCTTCATGTTAAAGCGCAATTTCTGTTTTCTGCCAATTTAAATTAGGAGAACGGAACCCCAAGAAACACAAAAAAATATTCCTGTCATATAATGAGAATTGACTTTTTCATCTCAAACAATTGGGCTGCAAGCGATAATGTTGTCTTTCGTCGCAAAGTGGTGAGAATTAAGCATCAGAGAGTGGCTTATTATCACCAATTGCACGAAGTTTGCATGAATTGATACGAATTTAGATTGTGTTGGAGTCAGCTGATGACAGATACATCGTTCGACAAGGATATCTCCAAAAGGTATAGATAACGAAAATGTAGGATGAAGAAGACAATAGAGGCAGTTGCCTTCCATCTTGAGTATTGCGAAATTAAATCAATATTATTGTATAGATCGAAATAATCGATAGTTTATATTTAGAGTAAAAGATATTGTCTTGAGAATAAATCGAAGATGTAATATTATTATAAACGTACTAACAGATCACTACAGAGAATAATAATTTAGCATTTATTTTATTCTTCGTTGTGTTCTTTTAAGATTTCGTGATACAACAGAGCTTCGATGGGTGGACTTAACGTATTTGCGATTATTATTTCACTGATTTGTCTATTTCAACATCATTTTATCCACTTTAAATTACAATGATGTTTTGTTATTTATTAAGATCCCTGTTTGAACTATGAACGAGCTTTGACACCATCAATACACTTACACTTCTGCAGTAGAATTCGTACACGCCGTTTCACACCCGTAGCTCATTTAATGGCACACTCCTGCTGTATTTAATGCGTATGAGCTACAGTGTTCTGTTATGACTTCAAAACAATCGATGGTTTCTCATCGATTGTTTTGAAGTCATAACAGATGTCATCATCGATGTAAATCAATCGTTATGTGAAATCTGAGAAACGCGCCATATTAGTAATGGTGATTTGGTCGAACGACGAATTACAAATAGTGGGAATAATGAACGAGCAAAGCAAAAGCGGACGTTCAGTCTCACTCTTGGAAGAAGGAACTCTTGAAGTAGACTATCATGAAAATGATGACGAACTGAACTGGATGACCTTAATGACCTTTCGGTAGTCCTTTTATATTTTTTTGCTCTGTTCCTTGACTGAGAACACTTCCAAAATTGATAATACTGGATTATTAACATCCAATCTGAATTTTCTTTTTCTAGCTTGCTCAGGGTGACTAATTATTTCAGGAAAGAGCGTTGGTACAATGTAAGTGTTATCTTGCTACTTTCCTGTCGATTTATGTTCCAATATCTCTCTTTTGTTAAATATTAAGTATTAAATAAATTTAGCAATTTATTTTGAATAAATTGTAAAAATTTTCTGGGCCGTTCAGTCTATGTTAAAGTCAAGTTTGTACAAACTGAAGGATAGGAACTCACAGTTACATCTAGATATAATCTAGTAAGAATATATTTATTTTATTTTTGATTCTCAAAAGATAGTGTTGATGCCTACAGCATCAACAGTATTTTTATTCAACATTACTCATCATTGGTACGATTTTAAAAAAAGGTCCTATTAACTCGGTCGTGGCCATCTTGAAATTTTTCTTGGTGCCATGACCGACTTAAGAAAAGAAATAGTTAGTGACTTCAGAAAAAGTAAGATATAGAAAAAGGTTAACTTTTTAAAAAATTTTCATTATTATTATTTCTTTAATTACAGTAGTATAGAAAATGTATATGTTAGGCTAAAAGACCAAAATCGTTCGTTGAGCGAAAAACAACGACCACAAGGTGTTATAGCTAATTCAAAAGGACCACGAAGCGAAATTCGTGTCGTGGCTTTCATGATATTTGACCATGAGCGTTCTGGTTTAAAATACGTCTTATATTGCTGTCATTGGAAGAAATTCTACTTTCATTATTCATTATCTCATCTCCGCTAAATGAACATAAGAAATTAATTCTTATGTTCATTTTAAAACTCTGTTAATTTTTTAATGTTTCTCGCTTTATCAAACAGAATATAGAAGATGTCAGCAGATCCCGAGAAAAAGATTTGTACCAGTTGTTTCCTTAATCCCTATTGGAAAACCGCACTTGTCTTAGGTTTAGACCCATTACAAACTTGCAGCTGCGATAATGCAATCGCAGTGTTCGAGAAACCGAAATTTAAAAAGGCGTACATTCGATTACTCGAATTGAGTTTTTGGGAACGCACAATTCTAGTCTTGTGGCAAGCTGTCCCCGGTTTGAATGAATATGCATTCTGCATGGGATGGCACGACGCCTACAAAGCTGATCCCATATTCTGCAAACTATTTATACCTTTTATATTTCTAATGTATTCCTCCGCATTTACATTACTCAACAGAAGAAAATTAAAGTTGACAAATAGACTCAGAAATGAATACTTTCGCAAGAAAATGATCGACGAAAACAACGCCTTGATCAGAAATACAATGTTGTTAGTCGCTCTAATTGTAATAGTATTGATTTCTGTACTTCAAATACAGATCAGTATATTTGAATATCCAACAAGAGTAAAAAAACAGAAATTTCCTGGAGAACCTTTTTTATGCACTGTTTTCATCTTTATTGACATAAGTTGTCTCATCGGAGTAATTGGTTTTGGTTTACTGTTGGCAGCGTTGTTGTTGTTTATCGCCCATGGAGAATTTGAACATGTCTCCGATGAACTCTGCGCAATAAAGAGAAACGACTCGGATTTACGAAGAAAGCTTAATGAATTGATGTTTCGCTATGAAGAAATATGGATTTTCTTGGATCAACTGAACTCCAAATCGAATTTCCTGGCTGGAATTTGTTACTTTGGTATCCTATGTTTACTTTTAGTACATAGTATACTAACAGTTACATAGTATGTTAATAATCTGTAGGCTTAAACCACTTCTACCATAAGTAAAATTATATGTAGCCTGTCAAAACCCTTCGAAATTTCCTTGTGTCCTCATCCAAAACTTATAATTTATTGCTCATTACTGCGTTACATCATCTTTAAATTCAGTCATGGCTGAATAAATTCTATCATTTTAATTAGTTACATCATTTATGTAAACGTTACTTTTGCACTATGTTTACATTTTTTATATATAATTAATTACTTGTTTACTGTGTACAAGAAATTTTTAAACTTCAATTATACTTCTAATTGAATTTGTATATTAAAACAAAATTGTTCGTGACAAGAACTACTTTATCAACTAAAGTATTTTGAATGCTTTAAGAGGGTTCCGAATACAATTAAAATTCATCTGCAACATTCTTTATATGTTAGTAAAAGTATAGTCATGTCAGGTTTTCGTATTACATTTCGATATTGTCGCCAGATTTTATTTATGCAAATTGACTGAAAATTTTTTTTAAACAAAAGTTTACATAAATTTCGAATTTCGTTGTTTCCAATTTGTTTTGGATATAAATATTTTAATAAAATATTTATTACAATCCAAATACATAAAGTAATTTTCTGATATTTTGCGAATTATGACACTATCAAAAGCAATTCATTCCTCCTCTTCGCAGGTGTCTTGAGGTTCGCAGAATCTGCCCTTCAATTCTCTTCTATTTGTCTCCGATTCAAAATATATAGCTATTTTGCAAAACACTTTGTAACTCTGAAAATATATAAGTATTATTATGAAATAATAATAATAAATATATCTTTACACTTACTGATAAACGTTTCTTATCTTCCCCATATAAGTAGTAAGAATACTTTCAACAAACACTATCTGTTTTGGTTTCTTCAATGCTACGAATCCGAAAGAGTCTCTTAATGACACCCATCACCGAGCCAAGCCCAAAATGTTTGCACGAGGTTTAGGCTCCAATTTAGTTATCAACACCTAAAATCTACACATTACAGCTCATAGGTATCAGCAGCTATCAATTTATTAGAAGTTCATAACAGAGTTATGAGCTAATTTGACAGTTTTCAGCATGAAGTAAATTATTATTTTTTTCTGATTTCCACAGAAAATGTAATGAATTAGTGTAAAATACCATAGCTACTATTTCTGTTCCCTTCTGATTGAGCTTTATGATGAATATTTGAGTATATACAACTAGCAGGTAGCCTGGCGTTGCTTGGGCAAAAGTAACGGTAGCGAAGGTTAAGATTATTAGATTATAGTCAACCTTATTCGTTTTCACAGAATGCATCGTTTCCCCCTGTTTCTAGACTAATTACAGAATTTTTAGAGGGTCTAAAATTATGTTTGATTTCCCGCAAAACGAAAAAACTGCATCTGTGTCTTGCACGTCGCTTTCTCTTAGCAATTCCATTGTTACGTAACACTTCCATTGTTGATCCGTCCATTGTTGACATTTCCATTCTTAACACTTCCATTGTTACTTAGCACTTCCATTGTCGAAATCTTAATCCAGTCTCTCTCCCCCGGGCGGATTTTCGAAAAATCCCTTTCGTGACATACCCTAACTGTGTATCAAATTTCAACTTTCAACTCCTAACTGTTTGGGCTCTGCGCTTATTAATATTATTATTATCATTATCAACTCGTCTCGATTATATATATAGGTAGGTAATATTGAAAGAAAACAATAGAGATAATGAAAATAAGGCTGGGAAGATTAGTCTGAACCACCTCTGCCATCTGCTATACTACTTTTTAGGATGTGGAAAACAAAGGCCAAATAAGGCTCTAAACAAGTTTGAAATATTATAAACTGGATACAAAGATTTGATAATAAATCTTAACTTTAAGAGAATTAATTCTGTGTTATTATATAAAGAAAATAAGTAAAAAAATCACCCACCTTTACTCGTTGATTTTGAAATAAGAAAAATATTCTGTAATATGTTCCAAACTCCACCTAAAATTTAAAAAAGGATTAGACACTTATCGGTTAATTAAGTAATGTTATTATAACTATCCCATTTAGCAAGTTTATCTACTCGCTCATTGTAGAGGTGTTCAAGTCTTAATTGTTCACAGTATTGTAAGAAAACAATGAAAGTAACATAATGAAATGGGAGTGCTGTATTTCAAACGATTCTAATTTTAAATGAAAGTAATTTATTGAACTTACAACATATTCCGCACTGCATATCTCATAGAGTTCGAAACCCGAAGTGTCGTTCATCATGGATATGGCCCATTTTGTCATATCTCGGATATTCGACGAGTTAGGATCTACTTTAGTCCATCCGTTTACTTGGGTTGGAATGAAGTAAATGAAGCAGGAAAGTAATACAAGCAACAATTTTACATACGAATTCATATTCGTAAACTACGTCCAATTATGTCAGCTTTCATTTATATTCTAATTTTTTGTCTAATTCGTTCGATTGTTATAAGGGGCGTATGAAGTTTTAAATTTCGACAAGCTTTTGGTCCAATAAGAAGACGACATAAACGAACTACGTTAGAATATAATTATTGCATTCATATGACGAAAAGAAACAACTAGAATGGCGGTAGTTTCAATTTCATTCCAAAAGTTTGGAATGAAATTGAGAAGAAGCAGTGTTATAGGAGGCAATTCAGCAATGCATACACGTTTGAAATATATAAGAAACCGTTGTTATGTGTAATGAGATTTTGTTATATACGATAAGCATTTTCTGGAAGTAATTCTAGATTTTATGTAATAATAAAAACGAATACCGAAATGAAGTGCTATGTACTACACATCTGAGCCAATTTCTTTAACAAAACGAAATATTCACAGTTCTTTTGCGGTGGTGATCCAATCTTATTATAGATTAGAAGTTAAGTTTTGATCAATTCTTTGTGTAATGTAGGTGTAAAACCTACTTAAAAGAAACTGTTAAACAATGTTTTTAATGGATAAAATGCTGCTAAATCTTAATAGTTAGTCGTGTGTTCGCTCCCTGTCACGGTCTGGTGACGTAAAGGTTTTCGAGTTTTCTGCTCTTTAGTAACTACTTAAGAGGGACCAGTTTCCCATTAAAAACCTCCCCAAAAGAATCTCTTTTCAGCGGATCGCCCATGTTTGCATTGTCATAGACCAGGGCTGTCCAACCTTTTTGTTTCTCTTGGCCGCATTGGAAGAAGTCAAGGAGATTTGGGCCACAACTTTATATAATATATACTTGTGGCCGAATATACAAGTATATTTAAGGATTAACATGTCTAGATTATAATAATAAATATTAAAACTTTATAACGAAAAAGGATATTTTAAAAAATTGCTTCTACAGACTATTTCAATTTTTACCTAGAATATATATAAATTCATTTATTTTTTCGAATATTTTTTACGTCAAACAAAAAAAAGCCACATTTGGCCCAATGTAGCCAAATCTTGCAACGTTGGAAGAAATACTAAATAAAGCTGGAGTTGTGAATCAAAGGATTATAGACCCAAATGAGGGGGAAAGGAGAGAAAGGATAAAAGATAAAGAAATGAGAAAGGTTGGTAAATTAAGGGTCAATATTTGCATAACAGAAGATCTATTTACCCTTTCTCACTACTTTTTTTCTTGTCCTTTCTCATCTTTCCCTCCTTTTCCCAAATTTGGATCTATAATCCTTTGAATCATAACTCCAGCTTTATTTAGTAATCCTTCCTCATTCACACATCTCCAAGTATTTGAAAGTATTTCCTTTCCGCTGAAAAATAAAATATAAATAAAGTTTTACAGCTTTGTGAAACTTATTTTTTAGTTTACGGCGTTGAAATTAATAAATAATAATAAAAAATTAAAACATTTGTCGGTTTTAGAAAAATATATATCCTTTTGGACTATACATATAATTGAGTCCATCTTCATTTGTCCCTTCACATGCTTTGCAGAGGAAATATATTTTTCTATATGTGAATTCGACCTGGCAAATTTATTTTTAATTTGTCGGTTTTGTTTACATGTTTATTGGGCCGCATTGGAACTTTCCTTGGGCCGCGGGTTGGACACCCCTGTCATAGACAAATTAACCGAACCACAATATTTTTGAAATAATAATTCATGTTAACAGATTGTAGTTAATAAATACCTCGTATCACTATTTACTGTAGGATTAACAATGATTATTAAATTAATGTATTTAACATTTCGTGTGATAAATAGTTGTCTACGTAGATCTTCATATACAGTAAAACCTGTCAATAACGACCACCCATGATTCCTTCAAAAAGTGGTCTTTTAGACAGGTGGTCGTCCAATACAGGTGGTGCTGTAATACCGTATTTCCGCACGTATTTTGCGCACTTTTTAGTCATTTCTACATAGCAAAACTCGAGATGAGTAAAAATAAGCGAATTTTTTCAACGATAGGTTGTATAGATTAGTATTGTATTTTATTCTTATCGGATACTGTAACTCGATTTACAGGAGTCGTCGTGATTTTATAAAACAGATTTAATATCAATATTTTAAAGATTAATAGTCGCATTTTCTCGATTATAATGCACACTTTCTTTTTTCCGACTTAATTAATTCGACTCGATTGTTTTCGTTCGCTCTTCAGTTACGTGTATTACACCATCGATATACAAGCGCGTCGTATCTCTACATCACTTTGGTTTTGGTATTTGTTACTTTAATCTTATTTTAACTTTAAAAATACTGTATTTTTTATTATTTAATATTTTCTTAAGTACAATAAGAAAAATTATTAATTANTTTGCCCACTGGAATTCTTTTGGATGATTGACGTTTCGGATGATTGAATTTCGGAAAATCGACGCTCTACTGTATATATATGTTACTGTGAATGACCGATATTTGGCGAATGTCAACATTCTCCAGTGAATGTCAGCATTCATACGGTCGTTTCGTGTATGTACGAAATATTTGCTAAATATCATTATTTCTCACTTACACCGGCAAATGTCGACATTCAGTATGCACTGATGGTGAATGTTGAATAAAAATATTTTTATTACGTTAAGTAAAAAATGCAACTTTTTAATATGTCAAAATAGGAGAAAGCTTAGGTAACAGCACATTTAAATAAACTGTTGAACCTAAAACGAGCAGTACATTCTTAATCAGAAAAGAAATTAATTCAATAATAAACTTACACATAAATTATGTGATTAACGTTATACAATCTTATTTATTGCAACAACTTAAACTGTTGTGACACTTTGAATTGCACAAGAGTCCCCTGCTTTTACAATTGCATTTATTAGTGGAACACTTCTTTTTGCAATGACAGCGTGTATAGTCTTGCCCTCCACTTTTCATATTAGCTGCAGCTGCTTCGCTCAGCAATATTTCTTGAGAAGAAATCTCATCTATGAAAAGTAACTTTTCTTTACAAATTACGAACTGATTATGTTATTACGTGATTACGAACTGATCTGTTAATGGTGTCTTTTATTCGGATATCGCCAACGCCTTATGGACGACCCCTCTTATCCTCCGCCATTCGACCTGACAAACCGATCCCACCTCACGGGATCAAAAGAACAAAAACACTATCCAGTGACAAAGTGGGCAGTTTCTACCAAACCGTTGCCGGAAAAAGAGGTACGACCTTGTCCTACCTCCGGCTACCCACAAAAGATTTGGTGACAGACTGTCGCCTCTCTGTTGACATTGGTTTCTCGAGTGTCGTTTCGACCTCCACCAAAGCTTATCTGTGCTTGTCAACATACACCAGCGATTGTTCGAATGTATAATAATATAACCAAATATTCGGTCTTTCACCGTCGTATTTTGTATGTGTCTACATTCACCAGAGAATATCGACATTCTCTAATTTCGGTCTTTCACAGTAACATATACAGTATATATATATATATATATACGAAGAAGGATGTTTGTTTGTTCGCTATGCACTCCTAGGTCGTTTGACTAATTAATACGCCCCTATTTAAGTGTTACTAACGTGAAGAATATCCGAGAAATTCCACGTGCCGAGCCGGTTGACAGTGTCTGAACCTACGACAGAGATTGTCAGTATTCGGTGGTTTTTATCTAGACTGGATTCTCTTTAGCATATATTTTTCTATATAAATATATGGTGATTTACCGTTAACTTTTGGAGTATTCAAGATAAAATGCCCCACTTTAAGATATGTGTCGAGTCTACAGTAATTCTCGCAATAAATTTTAAAATAACTTTTATTAATTTCAACTTTCTGAATTCGAAATATGAAACTTATTCTCGAAGAACTTTCTAAAAATTTATTACGAACTTCATTTTTACTGAAATTAAACAGAATTGTCATCGATCGCTGGGGTAGAAAATCTGTTTCAGTTGACACATGATTAAATACTTTACTTTATTTAAAGAATAGAAGAGCTGTCTGTCATTTAGCGGCAGACTTTGCTCTATAGAGATGGAAGGAGAAGGTAAGGAAAAAGAGACCGAATGTGAAATAACGGGAGATAGGGGAGTGTGAAGGAAGACATGGAGAAGGGGAGGTGGGGGGAGAAGCG